ATGTTTTTGGCCTGGTTGTTCTTTTCTGAAATCTCTCTAGATGCCAATCCTTAGCAACAATTAAGTGAGCAATATTTTTCTTTTCCTGCAAGCTGTGAAATGACATTGTTGACTTCTGTAGCCCTAGATGACCTGAAACTTACTATGTAGACCAGGTTGGCCTCAAACTCAGAGATCTACCTGCCTCTGCCTCCTGAGTGCTTGGATTAAAGGCCTGTAGCTCTTAGCATTCATTTTAAATAATTATTATTTTTATTTTATGTGTATGAGTGATTGCCTGCATGTATGTGAGTGCACCCGTGTCATGCAATGCCGTGGAGGTCAAAGAGGGCTTCAGATTCCCCTGGAACTGGAGTTAAGGACAGTTCATAGCTGCCATGTGGGTGCTGGGAATCGAATCCAGGTCCTCTACAAGAGCAGTCAGTGCTGAGCTGTCTCTCCAGCCCCTTAGCATTCATTTTAAGGCCAAGAGCGAACTAAACTGGTGAAAATGTGTTCCTTCAAGTTTCTCCCCAGCAAAAAGGCTCACTCATTCTGTTATAGAAACAGTATCTTCAGTCTGAAATGAGGAAGCTAAAAATCTGACCCTTATCAGAGAATTTTGCTCTTTCTGATCCCTAGACCTAGACCAATAACACACACACACACACACACACACACACACACACACACACACATACACACACACAAGCATGTTATCCATTGAATCCCATCTATTATTTACAACACCAATGGGATCATGTTCGTAGCTTCATTGTAGAGTAGAATTACTGCTGCTTGCAATGATGGTACCCACTGTATATACCGTTAACCATTGAGCCAGCTCCCCAGCCTGACTTTAAATTTTTTTTATTACATTTATTTATTTGCACATGTAGGAGATCAAAGGACAACTTTCAGGAGTCAGTTCTCTCCTTCTACCCAGTCCTAGGAATCTAACTCAGGTCCTCAGTCTTGATGTCAAGCACCTTCATACACTGAGCCATCTTGCTGACCCTGAATCAGAGGCTTCAAAACACTGGACATCAGCCTCACCCCCAAAGCCACATATTCATTATTTCAGTTGTTACCATACTTTGAAATACACCCACAAAACTTCACTCTTATTTGAAACAGGGTCTCAGGTAGCCCAGGCTGGCCTCAAATTTGAACTTCTGTGATTCTATATTATAGGTGCTTGTAGCAATAAAGTTCTTTTCTGTGCTGCTTCCGTTATATCACATAAGTTTTGGCATGTTTTGTTCTCACTTTCACACACCTCTAACAATTTCATTTTTTTTCTTGGTTTCAGTTATTCATTTACACTCAGTAAGAGGCTGTTCGGTCTCCATGAGTTTGTATGTTCTGTAGTTTTTCTTGTTGATTTCTAGTTTATTTTGAGACAAGGTCTCATGTATTCCAGCTTGTCCTCAAAATTACTGTTGTAGCTAAGGTTGACCTTGAGCTTCTGCGTCTCCACCTCCCAAGTCCTTGGATTTACAGGTGTGTTCTAACCACATCTAGTCTTATGTGGTGCCAGGGATCAAAGTCAGGGCTTCATGCATACTAGACAAGAATTCTACCAACTGAGCTACATCCACAGCCTTGATTTCTAGTTTTATTCCATTGTGGTGAGATAGGATACAAGAAATTACTTCAGTTTTCTTTTTTAAAATGTTTTAAAGTTTTACTTTTAAATTTTTATTATTTTTATTATATGTGTGAGTGTATTGCCTGAATATATGTAAATGCACCTATGTGGTGCAATGCCTGAAGAGGCCAGAAGAGTGCGCCTGATCCCTGGAACTTGAATTATGGAAGGTTGCTAGCAGCCATGTAGGTACTTAGAATTGAACCTGGATCCTCTGCAAGAGCAGCCAGTGCTCTTAACCTCTGAGCCATCTTTCCAGCTCCCAGTGGAAGTGTTTTTAATGTTCAAGAAGGACTAGATTGTAGTAGGATTGAGTTGTTATGTTGCTCTGTTGGATTAGAGTCTAGCTTAGTAGTTAGCCCCTCAACCCATGTGTTCAGATAACCAGGCTTAATCTCCAGTACAACTCTAAGAATAGAATTTAGTCTGCAAGAAGAATCACTATCCTCAGTTAACTTATTTAGTGGGTTTTTTTTTTTTTTTTTTTGAGACAGGATCTCTTATAGCCCAGGCTAGTCTCTGACTTGCTATGTAGCTGAAGCTGGCCTTGAATCCTGATCCACCCAAGAGCTGGGATTGTGTGTGTGCCATTGAGCCTGGCTTTTTAGTCTTTCTCTCTCCCTCTCTCTCTCCCTCCCTCTTCCTCTCTCTCTCCCTCTCCTACTTCCCCTCTCCCCCCTCTTTCTCTCACTCATTTAGGATAGCTTCTATTACAATGTTTTCAAGTTGCTAATCTTTCTCTTGCGTTAGTCTAAATTATTACTCCCATCATCTTCTGTATTTTTCATACCCTGAAGTATGACTGGGATCTTCTTGAACAACTATTTAGGTTACCTGATATTTCCTCCTTGGAATGTAGTTACAATCACTGTTTCATGTCCTTAAGTATCAATTCTGTCACCAGTGTCATTTCTGGATTAGTTTCAATTCTTTACTTTTTCTCTTCATGTGATTCCTATTTTCCTACTTCTTTTTGTGCTTGGTAGTTTTTTGTTTGTTTGTTTTTTTTTTTGTTTTTTTTTTTTTTTTTTTTTTTTTTTTTTTTTTTTTTTTTTTTTTTTTTTTTGCAGCCCAGGCTGGCTACCAACTCATTATATGGCTCCCAACTGACCTTGAACTCAGCAATCTTCCTATTTCAGCCTCCCAAATGCTGGGATTATAGGCATGAGCTATCATGTCCAACATTGTGCCTGATGGTTTTATTTTTTATTTTTTTTGTGTATGTATGTGTGTGTTCTGTACCTGTGTGGTGTTTGTATGTGTATGTGGTATATGCACATGCCCATGCATGCACAAAGAGGCCAGAGAAGGAGGTCAGGTGTCCTGCACTTTCACTCTCCAGCTTATTCCTTTGAGGCAGGGTCTCTCACTGAACCTAGAACTAAGCTGGAGACCAGCAAGCCCCAGTGATGCTCCTGTCCGTGCCCCACCCCCAATACTGGAGTTACAGGTATGCATGTGGCCATACCTGACTGGGGATGTGCTTTCACATCAAGTGTTCTTACCCACTGAGCCATGTCCCAGCCCCTTGGCATTTTTAATAGGATGCTAAACAATGAACTTTAAGTATTGTATATTTTATTATTCCTACAAATATTTTGACCTTTATTCTGGGACGCAGTTAAGTGATTTGAAAATATTTTGGCCTTTGAAGGCTTTTAAACTTTGCCATGTGGGGTCAGAGCAGTACATGATATAGAGCTGATTTTTTTCCTCATGTATAAAGTAAAACTCTTCTGAATATTCCACAGTACTCATAACTCAGTAGGCTTTCTATTCTTGTTAGTGGGAACAGGAACTTCCTCTGGTCTTCTATGAGCTCTGCTGATTTATCTGTCTAATCCCTTTGTTGTGATTAGTCTATTAGTAAACAACAAACATTTGTCATCTCCCAGATTCTGTGGATCAGAAGTTTGAACATGGTTTAGTTTGGTGCCTCTGGCTCAACATCTTTCCTGTAGTCAGGCACAGAGGCATACACCTGTCATGCCAGCACTTGGGAAGTTGAGGCTAGTCACCCATGTGTCTTTTCATTCCTGTTCCCACCCCAATATGAAAGTAAAGACAAATGTGATGATTCTTCCCTTCCTCCTCCTCCTCCTCCTCCTCCTCCTCCTCCTCCTCATCATCATCATCATCATTGCATGTTCTCTCTGTTCCTTTTTTCCTTTGCTTGAGGCAGGGTTTCTAGCCCAGGTTGACCTTGAGCTCACTATGTAGCTGAGGATGACTTTGAATTTCTGATCCTCTAGCCTCCCAAATTCTAGAATTACAGGCATTCACCACCATGCCTGGTTTATGTGGTACTGCCAGGTCTTCATGCATGCTAGGCAAGTAGTCTACCAACTACTAGATCCCCATGCCCAAACATGATCTATTAATGGAAAGACAAGATTTAAATAAAATAAAACTGAATCCAAACCAAAGCTTCAGCCCTTGGGGGGCAATTTGAATTCTGTGCCTCTCTCTTCCACCATGCTGATTGTGCTTGGTGGTTTAGTTTTGGATGTGTCTTAATGTTTCTCTGTTGCAACTTTCAGTTTATTTTATTCTATTTATTTAGTGTTTAAACTATGCTACGAACAGGGAAATCCTTTTTGTCTGGATGTCTCTGCAGAGGACAATTCATGGAAGCTATTTTTTTTCTTCCCTTTTTAAAAAAATTTTATTATTTATTTATTTATTTTATTTTTATTTATTTTTTGGGTCTTTTTGAGACAGGGTCTCCCTGTAGCCCCAGCTGTCGTGGATTCACTATGGAGACCAGGCTGGCCTCAAACTCACAGAAATCCGCCTGCCTCTGCCTCCCAAGTGCTGGGATTAAAGGCACGCACCACCACGCCTGGCTTGTTATTTTTATTTTATGTGTATGAGTGTATTACCTGCATGTGTTTAAGTGTACCTGTGTCGTGCAGTGCCCTCGGAGGTCAGAAGAGGGCATCGGATCTCCTGGAACTGGAGTTACAGATGGTTGTTAGCTGCCATGTGGGTGCTAGAACACAAACCCAGGTCCTCTGTAAGAGCAGCCAGTGCTCTTAACTGCTGAGCCATCTCTCCAGCCCCCTTTTCTTTCCTTCTTAAGTCTCTCACATTCCAGACAGTTCAAGCAGGTTACTATGATGTACTTCCACATTATTGTATACACAAGACCTATTAATGTGTTTCTCTATGCTTTCTCTTACCAGAAATGTCTCCTATGGAGAGATTTAAGGAATTCCAGATCAAATCATATCCCCTACAAGACTTCAACTATTTGAAACTTCTGTGTCTCCAGAAAGCCAGGAAGCAACAAGGAATAACCTTCCATGGGAATATCAACACCTCAGAAAATAGTCTCCTAAAGTTGCTGGGCCCAAAAGTCAAGTAAGCCAAGCTCCTAACAGATAGATGAATGTGGATATGGGTTTAAAGGGTGTCAGGGATATTGGAGAGGGACAGAGGTAACAGATAGATCCACCCAGAAGGGATGGGTATATGTGTGGCAGCCTAGAGAGGTCCTAGGCTTGGTATTGAGGACCTGCAACCTGCATTCACTGCCTCTAATTCGCAGGGCTATATTGGGCAGTCAGCCACTCCTCCTCTCAGGCCCACAGTAATGCATTTAGAGAAGAAAAGACAGGAAAAATCATCTGGCTCTCACATTCTGTATCCATGTTACTTGATGCTTTTGACTCAGCTTCTTCAGAAAACTACCCACCTCAGAGAGGCAGCTATAAGTACTATAAGCGCCTAACTTACAGCCAGTCCAAGTCAGGCTTGGCCACTTACTTGTTCTGTGTCCCTGATCAAGAGATCTGGTTTCTCCAAGCCTTATGCTTTATAGATAGTATTATCTGAGTCTCAGGGTTGTTGTTAGCCAGGAGTTAAATGAAATATACTGATAATTATACTTAATACTGATAGAGTGCTTCTGTGCCTAGTATTGAATTATATTATCAATTTTCCCAATAACCCCAGGGTGCTATTGTTTTCACTCCCATTTTTCAGGAAAGAAAACTAAGGTTCACAGAGAGATGAAGTTGTTTGTTCAAGGACACATAAGTAGGAAATGGCAAATCCAGTGTTCAGACCCAAACATCAAGCTAATGCTTAGTCTTTTGTTTGGCACAATTACCACAATAACATGAAACAACTCCATATTGAGGGCTGCACTTTTGCCTCTCCTTGAGAGCTCAAGGAACAGAAGAACACTCAGAATAGGTCATGGCTGGGCCTGCAGGGGCATGACCCTCTTCCCCATTTGGTCTGAAATTAAAATAGTATAAGGATATCAACAATGGCGTCCACATCACCTTCCTGCTGTTTCTCCAAGGGCCTCCTCACTTTTTTCACTAACACTTCCAATCTGCTGGTCTCTACAATAAGCAGCCCATGACTTCCAGACTGTTTTCTTTGGATGGAACAGCCATACAAGGAATCTAGTACTTCCAATCCCAATTCAGTTTTCCCAAGGGCAGAGATAAAACAGACCCAGCTTCTCTGTTTTGAATCAGTAAGGGAGAAGGGACAAGTTGGACCTAGAAGTAAAAAATAAAGGAAGGGGTTGGAGAGGTGGCTTAGCAGTTAAGAGCACCAGCTGCTCTTGCAGAGGAACTGGGTTCAGTTCCCAGCACCCACATGATGGCTAACAACTGTCTGTAACGCCAGTTTCAGGATCTGATGCCCTCTTCTGACTTCTGCAGGCACTGTGTACTTGTGGTGCACTTAATTGCATGTAGGCAAAACAATCATACATCATATTAGTTTATTGATAAAAATGTTATGCACAATCCAGTGGGGCAGGAATTGAAACCTGTCCTGTTCTTGTGGGGAGATGGCCCAGCTGTATTCTTAGCTGATTATCTTCTTGACCTCTAAACAGCATAGCCTCCCTCCTGCTGCCTTAGACAAGACCAAAGAAAGCACACCAGGAACCTGTGTAAAATTAACTCCAATATGAACAAAGTCCCGGGTCAGCAGACTGCCCAGAGAAACCTGTCTTTGCCAATAGACAAGTCACCTCTTCTCTGCCTTCCTGTCAAAAAACTCCAACAATTTCTGTGCCCCCAAGAGTACAAAGCTTTTTTTTTGTCAAAAATAGTCATTTCTAGACAGCTTTGGTTGTTATAAATTCTCTCTTCCATATAAGTTTTGAATTAAGTAGACCTGAGTCCCAACTCTTTCCTAGGCAGCTTGAAATTTATGCCTGGACTATGGTCCATCAGGCTGGCTAAGCTGCACTCGATTATCTGTTCTCCAGGAAGTATCCTTTTGGTGACTAAAGGACCCCTAGGTCCTTTCTCAAGTCTAGTCTCTCTTATACGTTCTGATCCCTGACAGTGACAGTCAGTCTCTTTCAAGGTTTAATTTCGAGTTGTCTCACCTTCTTGGGAGGTGCAAGTTCTCCAATAGGGAGACCTCTCCTATGCAGTGAGGGGAAGGCTGCTTACTTGGGACTTCATGATCTGTTTTATAAGGCCAGCTCTCTCTAACAAGCTGTCACATTTTAGATCCAGGTACGGAACATCAGTCAAATGTTCCATGGGCAATACCATGTTTGGTGAACTCCCCAAGGACGCTATAGTGGGGGTCTATATGAAGATCCATACTGTGGAAGAAGGAGATGTTGTGGTAAGTGAACAGAGTTTTGTTCACGCTATAGCATATTCCATGAACGGGTTGGGAGAATTGAGTAATGAGAAAGGCTTAGAAACACCCTTCCTATGTTTGATAAGAAATGGTGTTGGGCTGGTGAGATGGCCCTGTAGGTAAATGTACTTGTCGTGCAAGCCTGACAACCTGAGCTAGATCCCTGAAACCCATGGTGGAAGGAGAGAACCTACTTCCAAAAGCCATCCTCTGACTTCTGCACAAACCTTGAAAAATTAATTGTATGAGTTCAATCATATGACATCATGGAAAAGGTAAAACTTAAGTAAAATGTTCAGTGGATGCCAGAGATTTAGAGTTCAGGGAACAGGATGAACAGGTGAAGCATAGAACATTTTAGGATGGTGGAATTGTTCTGTATGCAACCATGATGGGACAAATGAAGCTTATAAACATTGTCAACACCCAGAGGACTCTTAGGCACAAAGACAAGGCTAGGCTCTGCTTGTTTTTGAATTTTTAGTTTGTTTTGCAGTACTGAGGATCAAATCCAGGGTTTCATATGTGTTGAACTATGTCCCCAGCTCAAGACTGAATCTTTTTTTTTCTTCACATTTTCAGATAGGGGCTTACTCTGTAGCCCAGGCTAACCTATATCTTACACTATAGCCCAGATTGGTCTGTGCCTTATTATGTAGTACAGGCTAGTCACAAATTTTTGGGTGACCCCCTGCCTCAGCCTCTTGAGTAGCTGGGATTATATAAATTATAGACATACAGAGTTAAGAGTGAATTTTAATTTATTTGGGGGAGGGGTTTGAGACAGGGTCTCACTATGTAGCCCTGACTGTCCTGGAACTCACTATGTAGACCAGGCTATCCTCAGATTCAAAGAGATTCACTTACCTTAAAGGTGTGTACCACCACACCCTGCTAACAGTGAATTTTAATGTGTACAATTTGGAAAAACAAAAACAAGGATGGTGGCAGTGCCTGTAATCCAAGCTACTCAAGAGGCTGAGGCAGGAAGTTTGCCAGTTTAAGACCAGAGTTGCATGGTGGTGAGTGCTTTTTGATCGCAGGCAGAGGCAGGCGGATCTCTGTGAGCTTGGGGCCAGTCTGGTCTACATAGCGAGTTCCAAGCCAGCCAGCTGGGGTTACAGGGAGACCCTGTCTCAAAAAGACCAAAAACTAAAAATAAAAAAAGAAAGTTTATCTCTCTCTCTCTCTCTATATATATATATATATAGAGAGAGAGAGACAGACAGATAAGATAGATATAAAGATAGATAGATGATAGATAGATAGATAGATAGATAGATAGATAGATAGATAAATAGATAGATAGATAGATAGATCTTTTGCTTTTTGCTTTGTCAGTTGACTGGACTAAAAAGAAATGACACCCCAGTGAGTGTAGGACCCCCCCCAGACTGGGGTACCCAACATCCACGGGAGGCCGCACCCCAATAACTCAGTCCTCAGACCAGGAGATGCAACAAGCAAGAGGATTTAATCGTTTGCGCAGACGGGCTCCTGCCTCACTCAGAAGGAGAGAGAGAACAGCAGCCCTGAGCTCAGCTCACAGGCGATTTTTAAAGGCAGAAACCACAAACCACAACCGGCAGCAACCGGCAATAGGGGGCTGGCAGCAACCGGCAGTAGTGGGAGGGGGCCGGCAACAGTCGGGGGGGAAGTCTCTGGTGATGTCCGGAGCATGAAAAGGTTAGCTCTTTCTCAGCAGTTAGAATTATTTTACTTCTTACTTCCTTGTTCTGAATATTCTTCTTTAGTCTGGGGGATTTGGTTTAAATCTACTTTAACCTGGGGGGGGCTTTAGTTTGATTCCATCAGTGAGCACACTTGGTATTCCTCTTCTCTCTCTCTCTCTCTCTCTCTCTCTCTCATAGTAAAAACATTTAATATGTAGTTTCTTTGCAATTTCCAAGTATAAATATATACTTTTGTTTTTTGATATAAAATAACTTTACATAATTTTTAATCTACAGAATATAACTGCTTTCTTTAGAACAAGAAAATTTACAAATGACAGATATTGCTTCTTTTGTCAAAAAATTCTTCAAGCAAGGCAGAATGCATGGCCACTTGCATTTAAAATAATATGGTGGTAAATAGTAAATATTTATAAAAGTATAAATATATTATTATTACTAACTGTAGTTGCCATGTACAATAGATTACTTGAGCTTATTCCTCCTGTCTAACTGAAATTTGATAAATGAACATTCTTTTTCTTTCATGAGTTCAACTCCTTTTAGATTCCATATATAGGTGAGATAATTTGATATTTGTCTTCCTGTGCCTGGATTATTTCACTTAATCTGTCCTTCGGATTTAACTGTGTTATCACGAATGATAGGATTTTTTTCTTTCTAGTATAGTATTCCCTGTATACTCCACTTTCTTTACTCATTCCTCTCCCTCCCTCCCTTCCTTTGTTCCTTTTGGTCTTTTTTGAGACAGGGTCTCCCTGTAGCCCCAGGTGGCCTGGAACTCGCTATGTAGAACCAGGCTGGCCTGAAACTCACAGAGATCTGCCTGTCTCTGCCTCCCAGGTGCTGGGATTAAAGGCATGTGCCACCATGCCCGGCTGTACCTTGGTTCTTATGAACTAATGGAGTGCAGCTGTCTCTTGAACACACTGACTTCATTTGTTTTGGATATATTCCTGGAAATGGGATTTCTGGATCATAATATAGTTATTTTTTACATTTATTTATTTATTTATTTATTTATTTATTTATTTATTTGGGCATGCATGCATGGTGTGTACGTGTAGGTCAGAGGACAACTTGCAGGAGTCAGTTCTCTCCTTCTACCATGTAGGTTGTAGGGATTGAACTTAGGTCACTGGACTTGGCAGCAAAACACCTTTTCCTGCTGAACCATCTTGCCAGTCCCCATAGGATAGCTCTTTCTAAAAAATTATTTGGAGGGCTGGAGAGATGGCTCAGCAGTTTAAGAGCACTGACTGCTCTTGCAGAGGACCCGGGTTTGATTCCCAGCACCCACATGGTGGCTATGAACCGTCCTTAACTCCAGTTCCAAAGCCCTCTCCTGACCTCCACAGCATTACATGACACAGGTGCACTCACATACATGTAGGCAATACACTCATACACATAAAATAAAAATAATTTTTTTTGTCTTTTTTGAGACAGGGTCTCCCTGCTGTCCTAGAACTCACTATGTAGACCAGGCTGGCCTCAAACTCATCAAAGATCCGCCTGCCTCTGCCTCCCAAGTGCTGGGATTAAAGGCGTGCACCACCATACCCAGCAATAATAAATAAAATAGTTTTAAAATAAAAAAATTATTTGGAGAAACTCTATGCTATTTTTTGTAATGGCTGTATTAACTTTTTTGTTCATGTAGAGTATATGATGGTTTCTTTCCTCCATATCTTTTTCAGTATTTGTTTTTTGTCTTTTTAACAATGACTCTTTCATAATTGTGAGATTCCATATCTCATTGAATTCTTCATTTACAGTTTCCTGATTAATGATATTGAGCAGCTTTTCATGTACCTATTGGTCATTCTGTCTTCCTTTGAGAAATGTCTGTTGAAGTCCTTTGTCTGCTTTTTAAATTTTTTTTTTCAATTTTTAAACTTTTTAATTGAATTGTTACAATTTTCCATACACTATAACTTGATGGTATTTATATCCCCTCCCCATCCACATGTCCCTTTATTGTCCCTCACACAATTTAATATACTCTATTATATATATAAGGCCTATGAGTCTAATTTGTCTCCTTAAATGTCCTTCAGTATGGGTCCATCCACTGGAGCCTGGTTAACCTACCAAGAGTCCCATCCTTGAAAGAGACTAGACTGTCTCTGCCCTTCCCAGCAATTGCCAAACCTTCCTTAGATTCCTTAGGTTGGGTTGAGTTTTCTTACCCACTTTCCCAAGTCTATGCTGGGATTTTGTCTGGTTTGTGCTTGCATTGTATGCTGTCACCATTGCTGTGAGTTCATGTGAGTACCTGACCAGCTGTCTGGAAAACTCTTGTTTCTTTGCAGTCATCCACTACCTCAGACTCTTAAAATCTTTCTGCCCCTTATTCCTCAATAATCCTTGAGCCTTTAGGGCAGAAGTTTGATATAGGTATCTGCTGGATAGCTTCAGTTGTCAACTTGACACACCTGGGAGAAGGGAACCTCAGTTGAGGAATTTCTTCTATTGGGTTGGCCTGTGGCCATATCTATGAGGCATTTTCTTGATAGTTAAGTGATGTGGGAAGGCTCAGCCCACTGTCAGTGGTGCCACCCCTGGGTTGGTGGTCCTGGGTTGTATAAGAATGTAGGACCCCCAAGCAGGGGTACCCAATGTCCACGGGAGGCCGCACCCCAATAACTCAGTCCTCAGACCAGGAGATGCAACAAGCAAGAAGATTTAATCGTTTGCGCAGATGGGCTTCTGCCCCACTCGAGAGAGCAGCAGCCAAGAGCTCAGCTCACAGGCTTCTTTTAAAGGCAAAAACCACAAACTACAAGCGGCAGAAGTGGGAGGGGGAGCGGCAGTAGTGGGAGGAGGAAGTCCAATATCAGGAAATTGAGTTCCCAGGAAATCATCCGTATCTAGTCTCTCTCTAGGTGGGCCTAATGACCTGAGTAGGTACAAAGCAGTTCCTCTATGAGGAAGGAACAGGAATAAAGACAGCAATGAAGACAAGCACTAAAGCAGAACAGCCAAGGACACAGCATGCTTTTTCTCAGCAGTTAGAATTATTTTACATCTTATTTCCTTGTACAACTTTTCAGAATATTTTTCTTTTGGTCTGGGGGGACTTGGTTTGATTCCATCAAGAAAACAGGATGAGGGGCTGGTGAGATAGCTCAGTGGTTAGGAGTGTTTTCTGCTATCGCAGAAGGCCTGAGTTCAATTCCAAGCATCCACATTAGGTGGTTTGCAACCACCTGTAGTCCCAGCTCCAGGGGCATCTGATGTGGGCACCTGCATGCACTTACACATATCCTCCCATACACATAATTAAAAATAATAAGTATTTTAAAAGAAAGCAGGCTGAGGATAGACTAGGGGAGCAAGCCAGTGAGCAGCATAGCTCCATGGTCTATGCTTCAGGTTCCTGCTCGGAGTTCCTGGCTTGGTTTCCCTCAGTGATGAACTGTGACCTGGGAGATGGTTTTGGTCAGTGATTTTTTTTTTTTTAATCACAGCAATAGAAAGTAACTAAGACAGTACCTATTCAGAGGTAAGCACTCTGCAGCCTCTTGTTCTCTGCTCACTGGCTCATTGTGGGTTTCTATGTTGTTCACCATCTTCTGCATAGGAAAATTCTGTGGTGAAAGTTGAGAGATGCACTAATTTATGGACATAACAAGTCATTATAAGTCAGTTTAATATGATAGCTATTTAGTAGAAAAACTAGTATTAGGTTCTCCCCTATGTCCTGTGACCTGTCTAGCATCAGGTTCCTAAGCAGATATCAATGTCAGGTATGGGCTCCATCTTATGAAGCAGATCTTAAATCCAATTAGAGAGTGATTGGTTACTCCCATAATATTCATGTCACTATTGCACCATTGGACATGTCTTGCCAGGCCAGTTGTTGTTGGCGCTCACAGGATTCACAGCTGGGTCAGGTTGATGATTATTTTTCCTTCTGGTAGCATACATAGCACCTTCCAGCACTAAGAACACTAACCAGTAGAGATGAGGCTCTGAAGCCAGCACCAGCTTGATTTCTCCTTGTTTGTTCTACAGCTCATCATGTCTTCAGCAAAGGGTCTTACCATCCAATTTTGGTGGGTAACAAAGAGCAGGCTTTGCCCAATCTTGAATCAGTTTGTTTTCTTGCTATTAAGTTGTTTGAGTTCCTTATGTATTTTATATTTTTTTCTTTTTTGAGACAAAGTCTCACTATGTAGCCCTGACTGGCCTGGAACTTGCTATGTAGATCAGGCTGGCCTCAAATTCACAGAGCTCCACCTGCCTCTGCCTCCCAAGCACTGTGATTAAAGGAATGTGGCACTGTGCCCAGATTAAATATTTTTTATTGGATGTATGGTTTACAAATATTTCCTCCCATCCTGGAGGATGTCTTTATTCTACTGATTGTTTCCTGTGCTCTGCACAGCTTGTTAGTTTGATGCAATCCCATTACCTAGTTTTCCTTTTGTTTTGCCTGGGCTTTTGATGCCATACCAAAGGGGGGAAAAAATCATTGCCAGGCCAATCTCAAAGCAGAACTTCATTTCCTCTCTTTTTCTTTAACTTTATTTATTTATTTTATGTGTATGAATGTACTGCCTACATGTATGTAAGTGCACCCATGTCGTACGATGGTCACAGAAGTCAGAAGAGGGCATTGGATTCCCTGGAACTAGAGTTACAGATGGTTGTTAGCCACCATATGGGTGCTGGGAATGGAACCCAGATCTTCTGCAAGAGCAGCCAGTGCTATTAACTGCTGAACCATCTCTACAGCCCAGAACTTGATTTCTAATAACATTTCTCAATAAAATAAAGGTACAAGGAATCCTTAGAGAAATAGTTGATTCCAAGGCTGTGACAGGAAATATATAGGATGAGCCTAGAGCATTTTATGGGACTTGAAAATAAGGACGTATGGCAGGAACCCTACACTGGTGGAGTGCCAAAGGACATGGGCCAACTGAAAGAGCTTGTCACAGCCAAAGCTGGAGTAACTGGAGCTGAAATAGAGTGGTACTAGAGTATAAACCCAAGTAGAAAATTACTATTGGTGAGCACATAATGATATAAGTAAATCACTGGTGAATAAATTAGTAAATGGAGGAGAAACAGATCTCCCTGCAAAATAGAAGTTACTCATGTATAACTCGCTAGGCTTGAATATGGGCTATACACCCAAGTGAATTCCTTCTAAGAGTATTGAAAAGGGCAAGAACTTGAGGAACAGGACCTCAGCCAAGTGCCCTGATCTGTCAGCGGCTGTTAATACTAGCCTCAGAGATAGTGAGATGAAAATGAATGTTACCTCTGTGTTCATCCTCTCAGTACCATAATCCCAGTATAAGCAAGAAAAATATCAGACAAATGCTAATAATACAGCATCCTACCAAAGTCCTGTTGAGTACTCCTCAGACCGCCGAGGTCATCAGCTGCAAGGTAAGCCCAAGAAACTCTGCTTGCCAAGAGGTGCCTTGACCCAACAATGAAACATAATGTATCCTTCAGGCTAGTGGAACAGAATAAAGGGCATTTGCTTAAAACCAGGAAATCTAAACCAGGGATAGCCAGGTGTGGCACACAGCACACACCTATAATCCCAGCACTTGGGAGACTGAGGATGATTATGAGTTTGAAGCCAGACTATGTTACACAGGGAGACCCTGTCTCAGGAACAAACAAATAGAAAAAAAATTCCTAAGAACAAAACAACATGCACAGGAAATCTTAACTGGTTGACTTCAGTTTGTGATAGGATCAATATCAAAGCTATTGGTCTTACGTGAAACCTTAATAACAGGGTAAATTGGTTGTGGAGTATATGGGGATTCTGCCCTCTTCTCATGGTTTTCGGGAAATCTGAAACTGTTTCAAAAAATAGATGATTGAAAAAATGAACCCAGTCATGGAGGGGCAAGTATAGATGAAACAAACTTGGCCCTGGTGGTGAGTGTGGGGAGAAGGGAGAGGGAGAGCCAACACAGAGTTCCAGAGAGTGCTTGTGGAGCTGTGTTTCCTCACCTGGGAGGTAGCTGCATATGGTAAGCCTGGAGACCCCATATGTTGCTTCCTTTCAGCTATGCCTGAGTTAAACATCTCCAAGACCATCCTTACACCCTTTTCCCCGTGTTACCATGGGTGGGGAATACTTTTCCATTGGCCTGAGTATCAGAAAGTTCTGCGTAGAACTGAGTTAGGGTTAGGGTTAGATTAGGGTTAGGTGTCTGGGTACTTAGCACCAGCCATCTATCAACACTGATTTAAGGATTTTTGACCTCTTGGGAAGTTTTTTTTTTTTTTTTTTCTCAGTAGAACTGTAGCTTTAAACTAGCTCCTCCCCTATCCTCCCACCCCACCACCAAAATGAAATAGAAGAAATCAATTCCCTTGCCCCTTAGACATGTAAAGATCGCCATTTGGGCTTTCAGTCTGCATTTCTACAGCTTGGTAATCCCCTAGCTGTCTGGTAATCCCCTAGCTGTCTTATACAGGAGGAACAGCTTCTTTCTCTCTGGCCCCCTCACTGCCTGCATCTCTGCTGTTTCTCAAGGTTTTAGAATACACTGCACACAGTCAAACACTAGGTACAACGTGGGAGCTGGGGATGCTCAGTCCAGCATTCTGGGCAGATGGAGGCATGATGATGGGTAGATGGTGGGAGGTTGTATAGGAACAAGACAGTCTTGGCAGAGTCTTTACTGTAAAGAGCCGTAATGCTAGGGCTGGAGAGATACTCTTGCAGAGGACCCAGGTTCAAGGCCCAGCACCCACATGAGGCTAACAACCAACCATAACCTCCAGTTCCAGGGGATCTGATGTCCTCTTCTGATCTCCGTGGGCATTCCATGACGTGGGTACACTTACATGCATGCAGGCTATGCACTCATATACATGAATTAAAAATAAAATAAATTAAAAATTAAAAAAGCCAGGCATGGCGGCACACACCTTTAATCCTTGGAAAGCAGAGGCAGGTGGATCTCTGTGAGATCAAGGCCAGCCTGGTCTACATAGTTCCAGGCCAGCTGGGGCAGCAGGGAGACCCTGTCTCAAAAAGACCAAAAAAAGGAGTTGGGGGCGTAATGCTGGAATGTTCTAGAAACAGCAGCAGTTGGGGCCTGGAACAAAGAGACCCAGATTTTTTTTTTTCCAAGTCCTAAGGAAAAGAAAATGGATTTACTCAGCAAAGAGATGTGTTTGAGGGCCAGGCATGGTAGTGTATGATAGGTAAAAAGTTGGCGGAGAACGAGCGAATGGAGGATGAGGCACCAGGACACAGATAAAACTCCATCAAAATAGGGTTTATTAGCAAAGGAACACATGGGACAGATTCCCTTCTGGGCAGGGAGAATGTCTGCCCGGGTCTTGAGCTGGGTCTTTTAAAAAGGGAGGCTTCTGCTTCCTGCAGAAAGCGGGAAGATGTATTTTTTTAAAAGTTGGAGGGGTGGGAGAGCGGGACTGTTAAAACCTGTCCTCTTTAGAGATCAAAGGGGAAGCCTGCTGTGTTGGCCAAACAGTGGAGAAAAGTCTGCTGCTCTTGACTTCAAAGAGAAGGTGCTTATCAGCTAGGTTCCCTTTTCTCAGGAGCATGAGAAGTCCTTGGGATCCTGTTGGTGAGGGGGCAGGGCTATCTGAACCTTAACAGTGTACAGCTGTCCTAGCACTCAGGAAGCTAAGGCAGGAAGAGCATTCAAACCCAGGAGTCCAAGGCAAGCCTGGGCAACATGACAAGATTCCATCTCAAAATGAATGCATGAATGAAAGAACAGATGACAGACACCTAGGGACTGAGACTGACATGGGGAAAGTTCGAGCACAGTAATGTGAGGGGGGCCTCTGGGAACAGGGCTGCTCTGTGGTGGTGAGAAGCCAGTGCTTAGGGCTCTTGTTCCAGGAGTGCTGTGGTGGTGTGTAGAGGAGCCCTGGGCTACCCCTTCACTTTACTCCAAGCCTCCAAATGACTCTCCTCCCCTCCAAGGCCTCATTTTCCCTACCTAGAAAATCTGCCAGTGTATCTGACTGGTCTCTGAAGTTTAACTTCTGTGCATTCTCTCTAGGGCTCTCACCAGGTCTTCCTCCCAGAGAGCCAGCGTGACACACGGACCTTCATCCTTATGAGCCTGGGAGCAGAGTTGATACGGGTGAAAAAAGAAAAATTTTATGACTTGATTGATGAAGACACAAGAGAAAAGTTCTTAAAGATCGAGGCTGAGTATCCTAGGTCAGTGCTGGAACTGTACATAAGTCCTTTCAGCTCCATTGAACAAATTTCTCCCTTTTACTTTAGCAAAAGAAGTGGGGGAGGGATGATAGAACCAAATGCTGATGAGAGTTGTTATTCCTTGGAGCTGTGCTTTGGATGCTAATTTGAGCATTATGTATCAAGGGCTTAGCTGTAAAACTATTTCTAACCTTTGAGGCAGTGATCTACCCCTGAATTTGTTTTTATAAAGCCAAAATATGAGGAAAGCTGCACACATTAAGATGTCCATAGTACTCATATCCATGAAGTAACAGTATCCATGTGTGTCACACTAAGGGGACAGCTTGGAAAATGGTGGTACTTTCCCTTGATAAAACCTATTGTTGGAGCTGGAGAGATGGCTTAGCTATTAAAGCCCATGATGCTCTTGCAAAGGACTCCATTACTAGCAACCACATCAGGTGGCTCACAACCACCTGTAACTCCAGCTCCAGGATATCTGATGCCCTCTTCTGGCCTCCACATGCACCACACTCATGTGCCCATATCCTGACACAGACACACAGGTATGTACACAATTAAAAATCAAAATAAATCTTTTAAAAAATATAATTGCTTAGTGCTGGGTGTGGTGGCACATGCCTTTAATCCCAGCACTCAGGAGGCAGAGGCAGGTGGATCTCATGAGTTTGAGGTCAGCCTGGTTAACAAAGTGAGTTCCAGGCCAGCTGGAGCTACAGGGAGACAGGGTGTCTCAAAAATAAATAAAATAAATAAATAAGTAAATAAGTAAATAAATAAAAATATAACTGTTTTATTAAAAGATGGAAATTTTGATGGCTCTATAGCCAGAGGGTAAAATGGTGAGATAAAGATACAAAACTGTGCCCACTGATTGTCACTCTTACTACTTTTGCCAGAGGGTGTGGGAAGCAATGATGCCCTGGTGGAGGCAGAGGAGGTTTGGAGGCAGGTGGATCTAAGATCGTTTCAGTCTTGCCTAATAAGCAATTTAAACACTGAACCAAACATGATGGTGCATGCCTATAATCCCAGCACGTGGGAGGTTGAAGCAGGAGAACCTCCGGTTTCAGACTAGCCTGGGCTATGTGGTGGGACGATGTCTTAAAAAAAAAAAAGTTGCTGGGTGTGGTGGCACACGCCTGTAGTCCCAACACTCAGGAGGCAGAGGCAGGCGGATCTCTGTGAGTTCAAGTTCAGCCTGGTCTACATAGTGAGCTCTAGGCCAGCTGGGGCTACAGGGAGACCCTGTCTCAAAAAGGACCAAAAGAAAAAAGAAAAAAAAAAAAAAGTCATTTCCCCCTTTAGGCTGCAGAGTCCAATCAGCAAGACAAAGGAAAGCAACTAGATGGTGTTTCCACAAGTATTGAATGTTTGTTGATAGGTTGGTTTCCAGTGGTCCACAGATTGACATGGTTTAGTCTTTTTTGTGCGTATGAAAATTTTAGCCATTTATTCTTTTTAATTTTTAAATTAGCTACATGGTATTAGGTGTCATTATGGCATTTCCCAACAAAATCTGTTTTTGTTGATTCTCTTTCCTTATATCTCCCCTCCCTCTGACTCTTCCATGTAACCTTCTACCCTGTTGCAGACATGTTTAGTTTTGATCGTTATAGACAGATTCCAGTGTAAATTAGAACAGTATGATGAACTCACTAAAACCAGGATTAGATGGATCTTGTTGCTCAGGGCAGAGTTAAAATACATATTTGAGTAAAGGAAACTGAAACCAGGCCTGGGGGGTACAGTCCTAGAATTCCAGTCGTTGGGAGGTAGAGGCAGGAGGATCAGAAGTTCTAGGCTTATATAGAGAGTTTAAGACCAGCCCAAGCTATATGAGACTCTGTCTCAAAAACAAAACAAAACAAAAAAACAAGCAAAAAAGGAACGGAATAGATTTAAGAAAAACCACAAGCCAATCAAATAACATTTTATATGTAGATAGGGCCAAATTGGGGACTTTTGTGAGAAAAACAAGTTGGAAATCTGGTGGCTTCCTTCAGCTTAGAGGTGACACAGTCCTCTGACTCCTGGATGCTATTTTATTAAAAATTGTTTTTCAGAACAACCAGCTAGAAAAAGAAGCCCAGGAGCCTCAGCTCCTCACATGGGGCTGGTGGTTGGGGATGGAGTCAGTATTTGTGGAGTTAAAACTCCAGGAAGGTTTATTTGACTCAAGCATGCAGATGTTTGAGGACTTGCCCCTGTGCTGCTTGCTCAGCGCTTCGCTGAGCCATCCACAATGCTGACAGACAGGACTGCGTCCTCACTGATTGTCGAACTCAAGGTTTTCCAGACTGCACACTCAGGCAGGAAATATCCATTATCTAACTCAAATCCCTCATGTTTGAATTGAGACACCTGTTCTGCAAATACTGGGAGCTAGCCAACTTAAAGACTACCCCTACACAACCCACGTCATGCCACACAGATCATGCCACACAGGACAAAATAAGAAACTGGGCTGCAATGCTACAGCCCATGGGATAGGAGAAGACCCTTCAGCTGAGGTGAGCCCAGGGTTTGGAAATGCATTCCTGCAGGAAGCCAAAGCTCTGAAAGAGCTGCCCTGTTGACTGGAAGCAGTTCAGCATCCACAGGCTAAATGAAATCTTGTCTTAGACTCTGGGTCTCCAAATAAATTATCCCATAGAATGTGTAATTACATGCTCGTCCCATATTGGTTTCAGCACGTTCCTTGGCCTCTTCAAACCTTTGTTTCCATGTCTGTGAAATGGGGTGGTTGTGAAAACTAAAGACCTAATCAGCGTAAAAGGCTGGACATGTGTAGGTGCTAGGCCACAGTCAGATACTATTCTGTTGTGTAAGAAGCTGGAGTAGGTGGAAATTTTTAAGAGGAGACTGTCCAGTCCCAGTGTGCTGGTAGATGTCTGCCAGCCAGCTTTCCAGGAGGCAGGGGGAAGCCTTGACTAGCAACATTTGCCTGTTTCCATGGTGTAATATGCCATATCGCCCATTTCAAGCTACCTACCTGATGTCACTGAACCTGGAATTGAGAAGAGATGCACACAGTCAGTGGGTAGGAGCTGGCTTTGGGATGTTACTAGGACCAAAAAGTCCTTGTAGCTCATTCTGACTGCTAGGAATTTTCTTAAGCAATTTCTAGGGATCACCTTGACTTTGTCCTGATCTGTGTCATCCAGCCAGAGGAATATTTGTGATTGCTAGAGAGATGTCAAGCATGCCTCCTTGGGCAGATGAGTCCAGATATGTTAGAAGAAGTTTGACATGCCCTTACCCTACTGAGGTCTCACAAGGAAATGAGTCATTAAGTGTTGAGCCCATTCCACTCCTGCTGTCCCACCTGCATGTGCTGGGTTGGTGGGGGGGTAGAACCAGGGCAGTCACCAATCTGTTTCTCTTCAAATTTGTTTATTCTGGACATTTTATATACACGGAGTCATTTTGTGTGTGTGTGTGTGTGTGTGTGTGTGTGTGTGTGTGTGTATGCACGCACGTGTACATATATAAATGACAGAGAAAGAGACTTTGTCCATTTATTAGTTGGTGAATATTGGGTTATTTCTATTTTTTAGCTATTATGATTGATACTGTTATGAACATTCTTGTACAAGTTTGTGTGTGAACATATATTTTCTTTCTTTTTGAGACAGGGTCTCCTTGTAGCTTCAGCTGGCCTGGCCTGGAACTCTCTATGTAGACCAGGCTGGCCTTGAACTCAAAGATCCCTGCCTGCCTCTGCCTCCTGAGTGCTGGGATTAAAGGCATTCACCACCATGTCTGATTTGTGAACATATATTTTTATTTCTCTTAAGTACACTCTTGATGATTGAGTCACATGGTGACTGTATGTTTAATCTGAGGAATTGTCAGACTGTTTTCTGAAGTGGCTGCACCAATTTATATCCCCTCAGCAATGAAGTGGGAGCCTCTCTCCAGATTCTGGGTATCCCTGGGTTTCTGGTGAAAGTGGACCTGGTGTGAATGGAATCTCTTTGTAGTGTCTCCCTTTCCCATAATAGTTTAGATGTACATTTCCCTAATGACTAATGATCGTATATTTAATTTAAACTTTTTGTCTTTTTGAGACAGGGTCTCCCTGTAGCCCCAACTGGCCTGGAATTCACTATATAGACCAGGCTGGCCTTGAACTCACAGAGATTCGTCTGCCTCTGCCTCCCCAGTGCTGGGATTAAAGGCATGCACCACCATGCCTGGCTAATTTAAACTTTTTTAATCACATTTTTTTTAAGAGATAGGGTCTTGCTACATAGCCCACACTGCCCTGGAATTTGCTATGTAGACCAGGCTGTCCTGGAACTTACTATAAGCTGTTATCCAGTCTGACTTCAAACTCATGATCCCCCTTTCTTTTGGGTAAGATTACAGGCATACAGTAAGCCCAGCTCTCCAATAGACTTATTTTTTTATTTTATTTTATTATTGTGTGTGTTCATGTTGTATATCTGTAGATGCACAAATGCCAGTGAATGCATATGGCAATCAGGGGACAACTTTGAGGAGTCAGACTCAGGGTGAACTCAGGTTGTCAGGCTTGTGCAGCAAGTGCCTTTACCCACTGAGCCATCTTGCTGGCCCTATTTTATTTTATTTGAAACAGGGTCTTACTGTGTATCTCAAGCTACCCTCAAACTTACTGTGTAGCCCAGGCTGCCCTCAAAATTCACAGTGATCCTTCTGCCTCCACAAGTACTGAAATTATAGACGTATGTCACCATCTCTGGTTTAGCCACATTATTATAAGATATAAAAAGAAACAAACTTCAATCTGCTTTATTGGATGCAGTATATCTAAAGTCTTATTTCGACATATTATCAATCCAAAAATTATCATTTCCTATTTCTTTGTGGTTGTGCATGTAATTCAGTGGCCATAGTTCAGGCATTCAGTAGCCTGATGTGGCTTGAGGACTGCACTAGAACAGCACAGCTCAGGGAAGAAGGTTGGAGAATGGAAAAGGAGGCAGAGAGAGAAATGTGGGGAAGGATGGGGGGAGAGAGGTTGCTGGGGTCCAGCGTGTTTAGAAATTGGAACAGCGGGAACCAAGGCTGGAGGACAGAGGCCAGGCAGAGGCTGGAGCCCCTCCCAGGCCAGAGGGCAGAGAACAGGGGACAGAGGGCAGAGACAGTTGCTCAGGAGCTCAGTTTTATGCTTGCCCTTCAGTGACGAGGAGCTGTGCCAGAGGTTCCTCAGGGAGAACGACTGGAATATCTTCCGGAAGGATCTGGTGCGGCTGCTGGTGGAGCCTCTCCAAAAGCAACTATTCACCCCCATCCAGATCAAGAAGAAAGAGATCTACAACCCCAAATCTTTAGTCCTGGATTTGTGTAGCCTCAACAAGAGGTCTAAGCAACGTCATCCCATTTTTCTGGCACCCCAGAAATACCTTCCCCCACTGAGGATTGTCCAAGCCATCTCAGCACCCCGGCACAAAATCCGAGAACTCCTGCCAAAAACAAAACAAAACCAAAAAACCCACAAAACAATATTTTAGATGATTCCTACTGGGTTTTTTGTTGCTGTTGGGGTTTGTTTTTGTTTTTGTTCTGGGATTAAAGGCCCACGCCACCACGCCTGGTCTTCCTACTGTTTTTTTTTTTTTTTTTTTTTTTTTTTTTGGGAAAAAAAAAAAAAAAAAAAAAAGAGGACGATAAATCTTTCACTGTGATATATCAAAATAACAGAAAAGGGCTTTGGATTCCCCTGGAATTGGAGTTAAGGACAGTTTGTAGCTGCTATGTGGGTGCTGGGAATTGAACCTGGGTCCTCTGCAAGAGCAGTCAGTGCTCTTAACCACTGAGCCATCTCTCCAGCCCTCCTACTGGTTTTTTAAGTAATTAAAATTATTTTAGACAAACTACATATAGGAGGTGTTGGACTTGTGGGCTGTGGGCTGGGTCTCTAGCTGACTGACTGGGTATAACTAGAGGAGAGGAACACAAAGACCTAGAGAGAGTGCAGCATACCAGGTATGGGCATCCTGTGACAGCAGAGGCCCACAGAGACAAGGAGGTGGTCAGGATGGAGTTCAGGAGAACCTTGGTCCCTTTGGTGGTGCTTATTCTGGGGAACCCCTCACTGACCTAGATCTAGAACTCAAGATTCTTGTTTCCACCCAGCCTCAGCACTACAGCCCTAGCACCAAGTGACCTCTCCTTATGAGCACTAAGAGGGCTGAAAGACCATGAGCCCACGGGAGACCTCCTGTACCTCCATGGCCATGACTGCTCACATTCACCTCTGTATCCTCAAAAGGAATAGCCTGGGTTGTGGATCAGAAGCCCTGGAGGACCTGGTTCTGTTTCTCCAAAGTACCCCCTTGAACATTTCAAGACCATTCATTACCTGTATTTGTCTCCCTGATGGTGAAACAAGCAAATTGGACACGTTCAATGTTTTCATAGATGAGGGGTTGGTAAGAGTTTTATTTATCTTTTAATTATGTCTTGAGACAGGATCTTGTAGCCTTGACTTGCTACACAGACCAGGCTGGCCTTGAACTGACAGAGATCCACCTGCTGAGATTAAAGGTATGTGCCACCACACTTGGCTTGGTATAGTTTTAAAAGTTCAACATTAGAGGTTTTTTGTTTAGATTTATAACAGTTTTCTTGTGTACTAAATAGGAGGAATTTTTTTTTTTCTCTCAGAAGGGAGCGTGGATGTAAGCATGTAGAGAGATGGTGAACTTGAGGACTTTGGCTTCCCTGCAGACGGAGTCAGGAAGTCAGGTACATCTAAACTGGGTGGGATAGTCATGCCTGTAATCCCAGCACTTGGGAAGTAGAGGCAGAGGATCAGGAGTTCAAGGTCATTCTTACCTACTTATTGTGTTGGAGGATAGCCTGGGCTCCATTAGACCCTATCTCAAAACAAACATAACCAAAACAACAAAAAGTCAGTGTGGTGGTTTGGAAGAGAATGTCTCCCACAGGCTCCAAGTATTTGAATGCTTGGCCCCAGTTGGTGGTACTCTTTGCAGAGGTTTAGGATGAGGAAGCATACCATTGGGAGTTCACAGCCTTGCCCCATTTCCAGTTCCTCTCTCTCTGCTTCCTGTATGTGTTTAGAGATGTGAGCTCTCAACTTTCTGCTCCTGCCACCTCTGCCATCATACCTGACATTCCACCGAAATAGACTCTTATCCCTCTGGAACCATAAGCCCAAATAAACTGTTCCTTCTAAAAATTGCCTTGGTCATGGTGATTTATCACAGCAACAGAAAAGTAACTAACACAGTCAGGGACATCTACAAAACCCTGGCTGTTGGCCTATAAAGACCAGGTGTCACTACTTTAGGACCAGGGAATTTGGGGTTACTGACTAGGAATCTCTGTGTTGAAGGAGTGACTCTTGTTCATTTGTGGGAGATGTACCTACCGAGCAGTTGTTCTGTAGTGGGTTCAGGGAGGATGAGGCAATCTGTGTTGCCTTGTTCGCCAGGCTAGACCTCCGCCTGTATAAACAGCCAGAGAGTACATTTTAGGCTTTGCAGGTCCTGAGGTCCCTGTTGCCGCTACTCAGCTCCACATCATGAAGGCAATGAGAGAAAACATGTAAATGAGTGGGTATGGCTGATGAATAAAAAATAGGTGGCAGGTCTGATTTGACCTGTAGGCCAGTTTGCTGGCTCCTGTTCTAAAAGCCTTCAAGTTTCTCAAGCAGATGTAACTTGGCCAGAGGGAGGAAGATGGCTACCACATAAACTACTCCGATAGTAAGCACCTTGCTAAGTGTCTGTGGGGGCCAGTAACCTGCTGGGTCCCGCCAGGGCCAGCGCTGCCACTTTGGGCTGTTGAGGATTGAAGGAGGTGACACTTATATAACTAGGTGTAAGGTTTTGGTTTTGTTTTCCACCAGGAAACCTGGATCTCACTTCCTGGGAAGTGAGAGAAAAAAGCTTCCAGAATGAGAACATATTCTCTGTGGGAGTGATGGGTGAGAATTGGACTGGAAAGCTGTGTGTGGTGGCACAGGCCTCTCATCCCCGAACTCCAGAGGCAGAAGGAAGACTGTGAGTTCAAGGCCAGCCTGGACTATATAGAAAGACCCTGTCTCAAAAACCAAAATGAGCCAGGTGTGCTGGCACATGCCTTTAATTCTAGCACTCAGGAGGCAGAGGCAGGCAGATCTCTGTGAAATGGAACCAGCCTGGTTTACATGGTGAGTTCCAAGCTAGCTGGGGCTACAGGGAGACCCTGTCTCCAAAAAAAATTCTGAGGGAAAGAAGGAGGGGGGTGGAAGAGAGGAGAGAGAGGGAAGAGAGGAGGGAGCAGGAGGAAAGGAAGGACTGCTTGAAGCACCCTGGGGTGAGGGTGCTGTGAGGAGAGGGGTAGGGAGGGCCTCAGGAACTCTGAGGGAGCAGAACACAGTGCTCTCTGAGGCCCCAGTACAACAGAGATTGAGAGGAGGTCTGCAACCCCTCCCCCACCCCCAGCTGTTCTCTGCCTGACAAAGGGGAATTAATTTTTTTAAATTTTTATTATTTTTATTTTATGTGTATGAGTGTATTCGCCTGCATGTAGGTAAGTGCACCTGTGTTATTCAGTGCCCTCGGAGGTCAGAAGAGGGTATTGGATTCCCTGGAACTGGAGTTACAGATGGTTGTTAGCCACCATGTGGGGACTGGAATTCGAACCCGGGTCCTCTGTAAGAGCAGTCAGTGCTCTTAACCGCTGAGCCATCTCTCCATCCCCAGACAATGGGAAACTTCTGAGTGGCTCTTATGGTGTGATGTGGGGCTGCTGCTTCAGTGAACTCCCAGCACACTGGAAGTGCTTGGTACACGTCAGAGACTATTAGCATTGTTTTTAACCACATTCATATCATCAGAGACAACTTCCTCCTTCAATAGTGCAGGCATCAGAGCTGAGCCCTTGAGGTCAGTGATAAAGGCCATCAGTGAATCATTTTGGGATGGGAGGGGCCTGGCTGGTGTCTCACCCAACCCCACAGGGCAGATGTCAATATTAAGGGGTAGCCTGGCAGGTGAATGTCAGAAGAGTCACCCAACTATTGGTAGACACTGGGAAAGGGAACTGCTTAAAAGAAGATTGGTGGGGCAGTGTTGATGTTGGGTGGCTATACCTCTGAGCTTCCTGGCTGAGGGTTTCCAGAATGGGTGGTTTCCCAGTTACCCCATCTATTACCCCCCCCACACACAAACACACACACACACACACACACACACACACACACACATAGAGAGAGAGAGAGAGAGAGAGAGAGAGAGAGAGAGAGAGAAATACTGCAATGGAGAACAGTGGTCAGAATCAGGGAGGATAAATCAGGGTTTATTTGGGAGAGTTCATTCAGAAGGAGTAAATTAAATACAATGCCCCTTGACACAAGAGTGAGCAAGAGATTATGGTTTTCACAATACAGAGGACCTTACTGCAGTCCTGAGCACAGATCTGAGGCCCAGGAAGTCTACCAGGAATGGTATTAGACCTTGTCCATGACTGTAATCCTAGCACTCAGGAGGCCAGAGGCCTTACCACAAGTTTGAGGTTGGCCTGGGCTACATAGCTATTCCAGGGCTGCATACTGAAACCCTGTTTCAAAAAACAAAACCAAACTAACATCAGGGCTTATCCTGGGCTTAGGCATGGAGCACCTAGTGTGTGAAGCACTGTGCACAGAGGTGTTTTAGTTTTTCCCATTACCATAAAGAAATACTCAAGGCTGTTTTTGTTTTGTTTTGTTTTTTTGGGATTTTTTTGTTTGTTTGTTTGATTGTTTTTTGTAACAAAACCCAGTTTATTTAGCTCAGTTTTCAAGGCTGGAAGCCAAAATAGTACGTTGCCAGCTCTGGTCAGGTTTCCAGGTCTTCAGGGGCCATATCCCCATGGCAGGTGACATTACAAGGGTGGAGTCCATCAAGTGGGGAGGGTGGTGGTAAGACAAGAAGCCAGAGAGAGGGGCCAGCCAGGCTCATTCTTTTGTAACAGCTGACTCTTGGAATTCATTTAGGGCTCCCGAAGGCTTTTTTAATCCTTTGAGGGCAGAGACCTGCCCCCAGATAATCCAAAGGTGTCTCCATAGGCCCTATCTCTTTTTTTTTGTGAGACAGGACTCCTGCAGCTCAGGCTGGAAACTCATTCTATAGTTAAGAATAACCTTGAATTTCTGCTCTTCCTGCCTTCATCTCCGAGTGCTGGAATTACAAGCGTGTAATCACATGCACATGTCTAGTTCTATGAGATGCTAAGGCTCAAACCTGGGGCTGCATGCTAGGCAAGCACTCTGCCAACCAAGCAACTCCCCCATCCTATGGGAGTAGGCCCCACCTCTTAAAGGTACCACTTGACCTCTTAACTGCCACATTGGGACCAAGCTTCCAACTCATGAACCCTTGGAGACATCCTCAAGCCTCATCTAAACCATAGCAAAAGGCTGTCACTTATTCTTAAAGTATTTCTTGGCAACTCACCAGAAGGTACTGTCCCATTTGCCAGGCCAGTGAACCTGAGGCACAAGGAGGAAAAGACCTTGTCTCACTCTACTGGCCCACTAGGTGGCTGATCCAAGAAGTCTGTGTGCCTTCTCCACGCCTGCCCACTCCTGGTTAGTCA